CAAAGAACTCAAGAAACTAGTCAACACAACACCAAATAACCCTATTAAAAAATGGGGTAAAGAACTTAAGAAAGAATTCTCAATAGAGGAAATAAAAAAGGCTGAAAGATAGTTAAGAAAATGCTCCACATCCCTAGCTATCAGGGAAATGCAAATCAACTTTGAGATACCATATTACTCCTGCCAGAATGGCTAAAATTAGAAACACCAATGATGACTCATGTTGGAGAGGATGTGGAGAAAGGGGAACACTCCTCCACTGCTGGTGGGAGTACAAATTCGTACAGCCATTTTGGAGATCAGTATGGCAGTTCCTCAGGAAAATGGGAATTAGTTTACCACAGGACCCAGCAATCCCCCTCTTAGGCACATACCCAAGGGATTCACATCCATGCAACAAAGACATCTGTTCAACTATGTTCATAGCAGCACTATTTGTAATAGCAAGAACCTGGAAACAACCTAGATGCCCCTCAATTGAAGAATGGTTAATGAAGATGTGGCACATCTACACAATGGAATACTACTCTGCAGAAAAAATAATGGTATCTTGAAATTCGCAGGCAAGTGGATGGCACTTGAAGAAACCACCCTGAATGAGGTAACCCAGTCACAAAAAGAGGAACACAGTATGTTCTCACTCATATATGGATTTTAGACCTACATCAAAGGATCACCAGCCTATAATTCACACCACCAGAGGAACTAAGAGATTCACATAAAGTCCCTCACAGAACTGGGAAGGGACAAGTCCCCCAGAGCTCAGGGGAAGTGGGGGGGGCAGCAAATGGAGAGAGAAGAAGGAGAAAACAAGGGGGAGGAAAGGAAAACATGTGCGACCAGGAAGATTGAACCTGGTTAGGAATAGAAGACAGGAAAGAGAGAGAGAGAGAGAGAGAGAGAGAGAGAGAGAGAGAGAGAGAGAGCTTAAAAGAGGGAGCCAATATTGGTTTGAAGATAAAATTGAACACAAAGAAAGGTCTAGAGAATTACAAGACTGCTGCCAAATAACAATTTGAGCTTCCGTGGAAAGGCTACCATAAATGCCCTTCCCGGAGAGTGAGATCAACAACTAACTTATCCATGCAGCCCTCAAGTAATGCCTGTTGGAAACAGGAGCAAACACCCATACATAAACACTGAGTCGAAATAGAACTCAGATGCAGATGGAGAGGACAAGACCAGGCGGCAGAAACACATAGAGACAGCTTACCTGAACAAGGAGGAGCTAACGGGCCAACAGACTGATAGCTGGGAAGCCAGCATGGGACTGACTCAGGCCCCCCCTGAATATGGGTCTCAGCCAGAAGGACTGAGCAGTCTAAGGGACCTCAGTCAGTGGAGCCAGGATGTATCCCTGGTGCACAAAAGGACTTTGCGAACACATCCCCCATGGAGGGATAACTGCCTTAATCTAGAGACAGGAGAGAAGCCCTAGTCTCTACTTCACATAACCTGTCAGACCTCCATGATCCCAACTTGATAGCATTCCCCTACATATGGAATTGGGGTGGGGGATAGGAGGGTAGGGTGGTTAGAGTGCATGTGAGAGGGCAGAGAGGGTAAAAGGGAGCGAAGGAGGGAGGGAGGAAGGTAGAGAAGGAGGGAGGTTGGGAGGGAGAGGGAGCTGGGATCGACATGTAAAATAATAAATTAAAAAAAATGCTTTGACTCCAAAATTTAAGTTGAAGGACAAGTTACTGGGGAAAAGGATTTCTATTTTTGTTTCCACAGAAAATGAAAAGATGTGGATTCCTTCCAGACTAATGTGGTTTGATGAAGCCAGACCGCCTGAAACAGAGTAACAGGTGATCCTACATTCAAAAAGCTGGACAAAGCAGCCTTACAGACTACAGCCAGGATTTCTGCATCTTCTTCGAATCCCCTTGACAGCGTTCCTTACCAGCAGGAAGTAGTTTGGAAAGAACGACATCCAAATTCCCAAATATTGTCTATAAATGTTTGTTTTCATTTAAATGGACTTGGTTATATAAAATAAAATAACAAAGAGACTTACGCCCTTATGCAGGCAGAGGAGCAGGTCCCAGAGGGGGGAGATGGGGATGCAGAGAAACAGAGAACAGGGAAAGGTGGGAATGCAAGGCTCCCAAACATGAATGAGGGAGCTCAAACCAACACACGGTTTTTGGAAATTGCTTGCTTGCACTTCCTGCTTACTCATTTCATGTTATTTCCTTCTTAGGTCTCTGAAGGAGTTCAAGACTAGATAGTTATAGGTAAAAGTTTTCCTTGTTTACCTGACTCAATAAAGAAACTCACTAAAGATGTTTTAAGTGTATAAGGTTGAGAGAGATCAAAACGTAGTATTTGACGATACTTCCTATTAGGCTAGAAAGTGAATTAATTAGGTACAAGACTTTGGAATCACAACATTAGGATAGACTGTTTTCTCTGAATTAGTCAAATGAAAATGGATTATCATTGTTGACGTATTTATTGCCTTTATTGTATAATTTTTCTTATAACCTTTTTTATTTTAGACAGACAGAGGGAAATGCACATAATTTTGTTTATGATCTAACAAATAAAGCTTTCCTGAGTATCAGAGCACTGAGCTAGCGACACTAGTTACCCATAGAGGCCAAGCAGTGGTGACACACACTTATCCGAGCGCTCAGGAGACAGACACAGACAAATCTCTGTTAATTCAAGGCCACCCTGAGATACAGGAAATCCAGCCTAAAAGAGAAACAGCTCACGCAACAGTGATCCCAGAATTTTGGATCATACAAATTTAATTCCAGCACTAGGGAGGTGGCGACAGGAGTGATATGGCTGGGCAGAGGACAATATAAGGCAAGAAGAGACAAGAGCTCTCAGTGAGGTCTGAGCAGAGTCAGTCTGAAGCAGTCTGAGGATGTAGTCTGAAAAAGGCATCAGCCTGAGGACAGGATCATCCCATTGTCTGGAGCATTGGTGGAGGTAAGAACTGTAGTGCTTGGCTGACTGCTTCTCTGATCCCTCAGGTTTTACCCTGAAAGCCAACTCTTATTTCTTCTTATTAAGAATGATTAGAGTCCTGGCCAAGGGTGGCACATTCATGGTGCACTGCCATCATTCAGTGGTCTAGATTCTACTACATCAATTAACATAAATAAAATAACCCACAGACATGTCCATAGAACAATCATCAAGAAATCTAGACAAGTGAGACTCATACATAGTAATGGGCTGTGTGAAGTTGAGAGCAGAATCAACCAAGGACATCAGAAATTGAATTATTTCTTCTCAATAAATTTTCTTTGGTGTTGGTGAAGCATGGAATATTACACAAGTTCTTTTTTTTTTTTTTATCATTTAGACGTGTAGAATTTGGTGTTGATGAATAGAAATATCATTGAAAGTGTTCTGGATTATTTGGGTCTACAGTGTTTTTCACTACTATGAAGTCTTAGAGGATACTTCCTATGTGAAAGTCAGGTAAAAGTCTTGCCATAATCTTAGGCTTCATCATGCCCCTTACCAGTATTAACCCTATAACGCAGACACAGGCAAGAGGAATAGCTAAACACCTGGCCATATTCTACATTTGCAGGCTCATTTGTGAATTTCTTGATGCTCAAGAAAGGGTGAATGATCAAGAAAAAATTTCCCAATGCTCTGCACATTTTTAGGGTTGTTGCTTAGTATGAATACCTTTCTTTACGGCAGCAGTTCTCAACACGTGGGTCATGACCCCTTGGAGTTCAAATGACCTTTTCACAGGGGACATTTAACACCATAGGATACAAGCATATTTTTATCATGATTCACAACAGTAGCAAACTGTTAAGTTGGAGGTAGCAAAGAAAATAATTTTATGGTTGGGGTTACCACAACATGAGGAACTGTATGGAAGTGTATCAGGAATAGGAAGTTTGAGAATGACTGGTTGAACATATGAAGGCTTGTTAAAGGCATTGTGACACCATCACAGTAATGTTGTTTCCCTGTGGGATAATCCTAAGGTCCGGAAATATGGATAGAATGGTAAATACCTCACTACACTCTTCATATGTGTATGGCTTCCTTGTATTATGGATTCTTTTATGCTGGGTAAGAGCAGAATGATTGTAAAAGCTTTACCACATTCACCCTATTTGTATGGCTTCTATTCACAATATTTTTGATATCTTTTAAAGAAGTAAAAAGTAGAAAACATGTTATGAAATTTAAATATTTGTATTATTATTTAAGTTTAATCTACCCTGGGTTGAGAAAAACTAGAAATTAAAAAGTTTTTAATGTTTTTTGACACTAGTGGCATTTCTTTCCAGTATGTATTATCAGGTGTTTTAAAAGTTCTTAGTAAGTGCCAAAGACCTTGGGCACATTCTCTACAGGCTTTCTCTCTCAAATGAATTCTTTGATGTTGTTTAAGGCCAGAAGACTGGAGATAGGCCTTGCCATTCTCCACACTAGTAATGTTTCTCTCCATGTGACTAGTCTGGTATATAGAACATGTTGTATAAGTTCTAAACTCTTTGCCACATTCTTTATACTTGTAGTTTCTCTCCAGAATGAATTTTTTTGGTATTCCTTGAGGTTTCTGGTACACTTGTACAGTTTGTCAGTCTTCACATTTGTAATGTTTCTCCCCAGTGTGAGTTCATTTGTGCTGAGATAGGTGTGTGACTTCATTTAGAAGGCTTTTCCACACTCTTCACACTTGTGGGGTTTCTTTCCACAATGGATTATCAAGTGAGCTGAAAGAATCTAGGAAGTTTTAAAGACCTTTCAATGTATTTCACATTTCTAGGGTTTCTCTCCTGCATGAAAGTATTGAAAGTAGTACGGAAAAATGGAAGACTTTGCCACACACTTTACACTTGTAGGGTTTCTCTCCTGTATGAATGCTTTTGAGTACAGATACTCCTGGAGGATGATTGAGGGCCTTGCCACATACTTCACACTGGTAAGGTTTCTCTCCTGTATGAATTTTGTGAGGAAAGTCCTAATGGACAGTTGAAGGCCTTACCACATATTTAATACTTATAGGTTTACATTCCTGTATGAATTACTTTGTGTTTGTAAAGTAATGATGGGTAATGGAAGGCTTTGCCACAAGCTTCACACTTGAAGGGTTTCTCTCCGGTATGGATTCTCTTGTGTATGGAGAGTCGTGATGAAACAGGGAAGGCCTTGCCACAAACTTCACACTTGTAAGGTTTCTCTCCTGTATGAATCCTCATGTGTACAGATAGCTGTGATGGGATATAGAAGGCCTTGTCACATAGGTCACACTTGTAGGATCTCTGTCCTGTATGAATTCTCTCATGTACTTTAAGTAATGATGCAGCATGGAAGGCCTTGCCACATACTTCACACTTGTAAGGTTTCTCTCCTGTATGAATCCTAATGTGTACAGAAAGCTGTGATGCAACACAGAAGGCCTTGTCACATACTTCACACTTGAAGGGTTTCTCTTCTGTATGACTTCTCTTGTGTACAGAAAGAAATGATGGAAAAGGGAAGGCTTTACCACATACTTCACACTTGTAGGGTTTCTCTCCAGTATGAATATTCTTGTGTAAATAAAGTCCTGAAGGATGAACGAATGCTTTGTCACATAGTTCACACTTGTAAGGTTTCTCTCCTGTATGAATCCTCATGTGTACAGACAGTCGTGAAGGAATACTGAAGGCCTTGTCACATACTTCACATTTGTAGGGTTTCTCTCCTGTATGAATATTCTTGTGTGCATAAAGTTCTGATATACGATTGAAGGCCTTATCACATAGGTCACACTTGTGAGGTTTCTCCCCTGTATGAATCCTCATGTGTACAGATAATTGTGATGGAATATAGAAGGCCTTATCACATAGTTCACACTTGAAGGGTTTTTCTCCTGTATGCACTTTCTTGTGTACATGAAGTGCTGATATACGATTGAAGGCCTTGCCACACACTTCACACTTGTAAGGTTTTTCTCCTGTATGAATCCTCATGTGTACAGAAAGCTCTGATGTGACACAGAAGGCCTTGTCACATACTCCACACTTGAAGGGTTTCTCTCCTGTATGACTTCTCTTGTGGGCACAAAGCAGTGATGGAAAAGGGAAGGCCTTACCACATATTTCACACTTGTAGAGTTTCTCTCCTGTATGAATTTTCTTGTGTACGTAAAGTCCTGAAGGATGAACGAAGGCTTTGTCACATAGTTCACACTTGTAACGTTTCTCTCCTGTATGAACCCTCATGTGTACAGACAGTCGTGATGGAATACTGAAGGCCTTGTCACATACTTCACACTTGTAGGGTCTCTCTCCTGTATGAATTTTCTTGTGTACATAAAGTGCGGATATACGACTGAAGGCCTTGTCACATAGTTCACACCTGTAAGGTTTCTCTCCTGTATGAACCCTCATGTGTACAGATAGCTGTGATGGAATATTGAAGGCCTTTTCACATACGTCACACTTGTTAGGTTTCTCTCCTGTATGAATCCTCATGTGTACAGATAGTCGTGATGGGATATTGAAGGCCTTGTCACATAGTTCACACTTGTATGGTTTCTTTTCTGTATGAACTTTCTTGTGTACAGAAAGTCCTGATCGACAATAGAAGGCCTTGTCACATACTTCACACTTGTAAGGTTTCTCTCCTGTATGAATCCTCATGTGTACAGATAGTTGTGATGGGATATAGAAGGCCTTGTCACATACTTCACACTTGAAACGTTTCTCTCCTTTATGACTTCTCTTGTGCACACAAAGAAGTGATGGAAATCGAAAGGCCTTACCACATTCTTCATACATATAGGGCTTATTGCTTAAATTAATTTTCTGGTGGTTAATGGATTGTGAGTTCCAAGGAAGGTTAATGCCATATTCTTTTCCTGTAGAGTGTTCTTTCCCTGGTGAGTAAAGTTAAGAAATGAATGAAGAAATGAATGAAGAGTGAGTCAAAATCTCTGTTATTTGTTAATGACACCCTTAAAAACTGATCTCCATCAGAACACTGTGAGTCAGTGTTCAACAGAAAGCCTGGCTTCCTGATGCATCTCAGGTCCACTCTGTCATTGTCCCACTCCCCACTCCTACACACCTGTTTGCATGTCAGCAGCTGCTGGTCTCTTCATATCTGAAGGACCTAGACTTTGCTCCAGAAATGTGACCAGGTATGGTTTACTGGAAGCAAGACCTGTTCATGGGAAAAGAGAACAGCATTATTAGTGTGTGCTCCTGGAGATCACATGCCCTCTCTAGGACTATATGCTATATGTATAAGGAATGAGAAGATACAACAGATGCTTGAAGGAATTTAAAATTTGCATGTTGTTACATTCATGTCCCTCAGCTAGAAGGAAAAATATGAAAAGTGAAGAGTGTAACATTCTTTTTAACTTGTATACTTTCCACTAATGCCACTTATGTTATAACATTTAGAAAGGATCCTTCTAAAAGGGGGAGCTTGTGAACATAAGAATAAATAAAAATCATTCTCAGGTATATGAATACTCTTCTTAATTTTCCTTAAAATTTGCCTCACAAATTTCATTTTTGAAGTACAAGCTCCCATGTGATACTGTATAAAGATAGTTTGATCATGACAATTAAGAGTTCATCATGGAAATATTCCTTACCCATGATGAAGAATATTATTTACTTTTGTTTATACTGTTGAACATTTCTTTAATGATGCAAAATGTATTTGAATACATAAAATACACATGTGCTAAGAAGGGTAAGACAGCAACTAGCAGAGAGGAAGTGGTAGAGAGAAGCCAAGTGGAGAAAGGCTATTAAGTAGGGCTGAGGAGGAGGAGGGCTTTTTGAAACACATGAGCAAGGAAAAGAAGTGAGGTACTTGCTAGTCAGCTTCTGAGGAGAAGAATCCCATCTCAATCTTTGAATCTTGAGTTCTTTAGAAGGACAGAGGTTTAGATAAGCTCCCTTCCTAGCTTTGAAAGACTCCAGTGCCTGAGGGAACAAAATTCTCCCAGGCTGCTGCTCCTGTGGCCTAACACCTGCTGGTAGCAGAGGAATTGCAGTTCCTGATGAGGACAGTCACGGTCTAAAAGGCAACAACAATTTGAAATCAAAGAACAACCTACCCAGGAACACAAGGTTGCTGAAATTCTCCAACATCACATCCCTGTACAGATTCCACTGAGCAGGCTCCAGGCATTCACACTCCTCTGCAGAGAAATCAATAGCCACATCTACGAATGACAGCATTTCCTAGAATAAAGAAATAAGAATGGATGCTATACATTAAACTAACAGAAACTTCTGATAAAAACATGAATACCTGTAGACATATGTGCTTCTAAATATAAATGTAACAGTGACCCAGAGAGGAGACCTACAAGCACATCTGATACAGGAAAAGCAATATCCATAAAGAAGTCTGATGTGGTTCTGTGATTAGCATAGGACTCATGATTAAGGAAACTGAATGGCAGTTTCTCTAGAAACTCCCATAGAAATTATACTTTTAAGATCCATACAATGGAGAGCAGGTGTGTCTACAGAAGTGTATGTTGAAGTTGGAGAGATGGCTCAGGAGTAAACAGCACTGGCTACTCTTCCAGAGGATCTGGGCTTGATTCCCAGCAGCCACACAGCTGCTCCCAACTGTCTGTAACTCCAGTTCCAGAGGATCAGACAATCTCTCAGACATGGACACTAGAAGAACAACATGCTCACTACATAATTAAAAAATACAATTTTGAAATAAAACAGGTGTTTTGTCCCATTCTTGTATCAAAAGACCACGCACTGAATGTCCATTTTCACAGTAGAGAGCCATGGTGATGGAGAGGGCACTTCTCACTCAATATGAGCAATCACTAATGATAAACACAATAAACATGCAGATCTGATCCAGGCACTCCAGGCTGAGGGCTGGCTTCCTGAGCATGTACAGAGAGATGCAAGTGACAGTGTACCAGGCAACATAGGTTTCTGATGGGAGATGTCATTCTGTATATGTTTCTCATACTGGTTAATAATAAAGCACTGTTGGCCAATAGGAAAGGAAGATAGGAGGGACTAGGAGACAAGGAGGAAATAGGAAGTAGAAAGGAGGAGTCAAGATGGAGAGTCTGAGGAAAGTAGTATGCCGCCGGCTCCCCGGTAAGAGAAATACATAGATCAGCAGAAATGGATTAATAATTAAGGCAGAGCTAGCCGATAAAAAACAAGTAACCGGGCCAACAGTATTGTATCAAATACAGAGTCTCTGTGTATTATTTGGCGGCATGGCGGCGGGACAAGACCGAGAGGCGGCAGGCGGAAAAACCAAACTCGTTACAGGTTTCAGCCACCAAAGGGCAGCACAATAAATGAAGAACTTGTAGACAATGGAATCAATCACAAGAATTTTAACAAAATTAGGATTAGGAAATTTAGCAGGAACTTACACTGACCCGGCTCCCTCACAGGCCCTGGGGAAAGGACAAAGGGAATGACACACAGGGCATAGCCTACAGAAAGCATGAGAGGAACCAGAAATGTTGAGCATGCAGGATGGTTTTCTTCAGAAGGAAATGGCTGATGTCTGTTCACTAGGAAGCTGGAGTGGATGGTGTCTAACAACCTGGTGATCTTCTGCCAGTCTATGGATCTGACCTCACCTGAATTTCACTCCACCCCAAATCCTAACCATTGATCAGGCCCTCATTCTGAGCTTTGTCTCAGTGAATAAATCCTATTCTTATGAAAGTGGTCGAAAGACATTTGCATCCTCTGTCAATAAAACCTGTGCTTGTGCTTATGACAAATCCCTCCTCTTTCTGCACTCACCCTGAACTCTGTTTCTTTGTGAACAAGAACCCATTCTTAAGGTAAAGGGCACAGGTACTTCACCAAAAAGATGCTCATTACAATGGAGTGTCAGTGTAGCGACATCTTAATCTTTGCTGTGATATTTTTCAAATGGAAATGTCTTCTGGCAGATTTACTGTGTGCAGTTATGTAAGAAAAATAAGCTGCTTGGTTAAACTGAAGAAATATTTATCCCAGCTCTGGCTAACGTGGTGCTGATGGAGTTTCATTCTTAACTCCATGTGTCCTGTGTGCCTGCCAGCCATGAAGTTTGCAGGAATTCTGGGAATGTGAAACTCTGCCCTAGGAGAAGTTACAGTTTTTCTTTCAGTAGAAATCAATGTCAAACTGACTGGAGAACTTACCTAAAAGGGTTCACAAATGTAAATGAGAGAGTAGAATAAATATAGGTTCTTCTCAGTAGTGTGTACCAGTGTTGTTTATTCTCATTGAAATATTTATTAAGGTCCAAAGGTACAAAGCCTGCCGAGCAATTCCTCCTCAACTTTATACTCAGATAACTAATGTAAAGAGAGCCCATGAAGGAGATAAAAATCCTTGTCAAGTATGTTTTTAAACAATGGGAAAGAGAAAAACAAACAAACAACAACAACAACAAAAACCACATACACATATATACACACAGACACACACACACAATGAACATACAAACAAAAAGCAACATTTGTTTCCTGCTGGACACATCTTTGCAGGTCACAGGAAGGACAAAGATTTTCGCTAGCTGCTCGGCATCCAGGCCAGCTAAGTTAGTTCAGTCATCCTGAGCAATCTGATCGCAAGTCAAGGCTCTCTGAACATGTGGCCCTGGGATGTAGACTGTCCTCTGTAACATACAAGTTCCAATAAATGTTGGGCGGGGCTCTACTGCTATTGGCTGCCACAGAGCTTATATGTTGTTGTTTTCTGCTTACTTTTGTTAGTTTCTTCTTGTTTTCCCCCATAGTGGTAATGACTCATACAAATTGATTAATGACCACTACATGGAGAATTAAAATGGGCATAGATTCTAATACAAGAATAATTACAATTAGGACATAAAGGCAACACTGTCTAAATTCCTGGAGATATTAGTCATGCAATACACGGATGATTCTTCTCTTGTTCATAGAATTGTTTCCCATCTATGATATTAATTGTGAAATATATTCTAAAAATCAGAGGAGTGGTGATGTTGAAACATAAAAATTCCTGTGTTTTTATAAAATAAGATGTCAGAAAGGTGTAAAATCATTTAAAGTATATAGATAGCCACAGAAATGTTCACAGAAGAGTGGACTCTGGAAAGATCAGCACAAGCATCTCATTTTTATCTCATTTTAGGCCTAGTAAAGAATGGAATTCTCACTTGCATCCCTTGGAGAGCCAATAAAAAGGGCATGACATCTGGAATGGTGGGGTCCAGCCATTGAGAAGACTCTCTAGCCCAGAGATAGGTTCCTACAATATGTTAGAGAGGTCTTTGGAGTTCTAGCTTGAGGGGCTGTGAAATCCCTAAAGCCCAAAGTCAATAACCATAATAAAGCTTATGAATAGGGAATGTGGACTGGATAGAAACAAGAAACAAACACAAATCTACAAATATGTTCTGAACATAACATATGGGTTAATGGTTTGACTGAAAATTCAGACAACTAACAAAAAGTCAAAATAATAACACATTCTCTCTCTCTATGTGTGTATGTATATATATACACACACACACACACACATATATATATATCATGAATTCATATTGTTCTTAATAATAGAAACCCAGAGTTAATGGTGAAAGATCAGAGAAGCACTAGAGAGTTCTCACCTCTACCAATGCATACCACATGGGAGATCCTGTCTCTAGGAATACTCAGGCTGAGTGCATCCTGTCTCTACAAAACCTCAGGCTGAAGGCTGGGCTCCTGTCTCCTTCTGCCTTATATTCTCCTCTCTGCCCAGCCACATCCCTTCTGGTCTCCCCCTCCCGAGTGCTGAGATTGAAGATATGAGCGATCATGTGACTCTGTTTTATCTTGTAAACTGATCCAGTCTCATATAGCCCAGGGTGGCCTTTAACTCCTGACCTTCCTGCTTCCTCCTCCCAAAATCTGGAAATAAAGGCACATGACCCCCAAGTGCTGGTATTATAGGTGTGTGCCACCACTGCTTGGCCCCTATGGCTAACTCATGGCTTAACTCTGCACTCTGATCTTGAGGCAAGCTTTATTTGTTAGATCACAAACTAAATAGGACCATATATACAATAAAGAATGTTAGAAATATACCATGTAAGGAAGTCTGAAAAAGTCAAGGGTGAGGCTGAAAATACCACAGTGATGGAAAACAATAAACACCTGACATCACATGCTAAGGCACAAGAAAGCCTGGACAAACACAAATGCTGGCAAAAAATTACAAGAGTATGAACAAGACATGAAAGAACACTAAAGCTCTGCATGTTAGCTTGGCACAAAAAGACCCTTCAGCAAAGCCTGATGGCATGAAGTGGATCCTGACCACTCACACAGTGGAAAGAAAGACACTGTCATCTGAATGTGCATGACATGGTATGTGTATCTACATACAAACACAGGTACACAGTCTGTCAGTCAGTCAATCAAGAAAACAGTCAATGAATGTACTAAAGAGCACCAAGGGAGTGTAAGAGGTTCACTGGACACCATGTAAATAAAGAGAGAGAGAGAGAAGCCAGTATGGTGACACGTGTGTGCAATCTTAGTTTATGGAAGGGGTAGGTAGGGATACAAGGCACATGTGGTCAGTCTTGGGATTTCAACACTGACTGTGTTGTATAAACTCCTCCCTCCTTCATTGAAAAAAACCAAACATTCTCTCTACCATTAAAGACAATGAAGTTAAGGAGAATAAATTGCTTATTGGTGCCCTACAACTATTAGTATTCACACAGCTGTACTGGCCTGCCCTTGGGGTTCTGACAGGATACATATTCAGCTCCAACGACTGAGAGCACCACCTGTGCACATTCATTATGCTCCCTTGTAAAAGGGTCCTACTCACTTCCCATCCCCCCTCTTTTTCTTTTTCTCCCTCTCTCTTCTCTGTTCTCTCTTCTCTACACTTTTCTTTCTCCTCTCTCCCTCTCTTTCCTCTCTCCTGTTGCTCCTGTCTCAGCAGGCTGATCTACCTCTTCCCCTTTCCAGTTTTTATGATCATTTCCCCTAATTAAAACAAAACAAAACAAAACAAAACCCTCTGCTTGAATTCTGTTTCATGGAATCTTTTTCACATGTGCTGCTTTTCCTAAATTACAACAACAGGAAAAAAGAGTAAAACCCCCAAAATATAAGAATGATGGAAATGACAAGCACAATCCAGAATCTGAAAGTGGAGTTC